GTCTAATAGTTCAGTGGCTTCTAGCCAATATCGTTCTCTGTCAACTTCTTTACGCCATGACTGTCAAATGTAAACATGTGTTGAATTCTGCCACCAAAAGTTGCAATAAGAGATAACAACTGCAGGGTGGTTATCTTTCACGTACGAACTATTTCACGGGTGGCTTCAAGAATTCGTTTCTCATGGTCTAGCAACGCCTTGGGCAACGAGGACCAGCAGGCAACAGAAGCATGAAGAGAAACAGCCGCATGCTGCAATCGTGCAAATGGTTGAGTTCAGATCTTTTGACTGAAACTTTACTGAAAAAACATGAGTTTGTCTGGCAAAACGGACTCCAACAAAAAGTCGGAAGTTCCAACTCTGAACTCAACTGGTTTGACTGAAAGCTTTCGATTCGTCTTCCTTTCACATACATCTGCATTGAAGGATAGACGGCAGGATACTCACAGCTAGGGTGGCACAGAATCTTTTCTGGCAAGAAAGAAAACAAGATTGTCTCCTTTTCCTATGACCCCTGCTTCTCTCTCTGAAGTGGAATGCAAGGTCGGTACTCGACTGGCTTGTCGCTGGTGCTCTTCATTGATCTGCCGCCTAAGTCTCGCGTCTCTTCGTGGATGAAGAAACAAGCACTCCCAAAAACATCCAAAAACCACAGATGGCTGCCAACAAAAACACAGCTTCCCTTAAAACACTGTCTCATTATGTCTCATTGTTTGATTATACGAGTACCCTATGCCTACGCCGCTGTTCCGGAACGCCAGCCAACGCGCGGCCAACACGCCCAGCGCGAAGGTTCCGAGCGCTGCGCTGCGCATCAGAGAGAAGTCGCAAGGTGACCTGTGCCTCAAACTCCTTGAGGTCCATCGACAAAGTCTCACGGAGCGAGCTTCGCTCAGCACGAAGCATGCCGTACTGCCAACACACTACCAACACCAGCTTTTGCAAACGGCCAAAAGAAGGAATGAAGCAAAAGCTGCTTTTGCAACAAGAGTCCGGTGGTCCGGCAACAAAAATCCCGCACAGCCAATGCGAAGTTGCCCTCCCTTCGTTTTGGCCTTTTCGATCTGCACGGGCTCCAACTGGCAAAGCTGCCTGGCAAAGTGGATTCAACGGCCAAAGAAAGGGGGTGAGGGTCTGCGGATCAAAAACAACACATCCCAAGAAAAGGTGAACAGACTTACAGTAATTTACTAGATACTACTAGCATTTCACATCATTTCACCCTAAACCCCACTCATTACTTCGCAGCTCAGACCCACACTGCAGCGTCAGCCGCAGCTCGGCCATGTTCCTCGGCCGGAACGTCGGGTCGGTCGGTGAGTCGTTGGTGGCTGGGTGTGTCGCTCCTGCCGTGGCCGCCCGGGGACGGTGGTTTTTTGGGATCGATGTACCGAAGAGCTCAAGTCAGAGAGGGTGAAAAGGCCTTGGGGATGGTATTTTGAGACACACCCTAATATATGGCTACATGGCTAGATGTGTTCTGTGGTCTTCTAGTTTCTTTTTCTATGTTTGTTCTTTTTTGGAATGGCGAGATGGTTCACCAACAACAAACAAAAGGAAACAGCACACAAATCATACACGGCCAACATTCCCCTTCACCTTGAGGTTTGGCTTTCGAACTTGGCTTCAACTTTGCAACATAGGCCTTGAAAAGAAGCGCTAGCTCCTGACCAAAGCCTTTGAATCAAAACTCTCGCAACGTCAACGTCCCACTGACACTGCGCCCGTCCCCACAGCTCCCGCTTTCGTAGGGGGGGCCTGGCTGCTTTCGGCCGCCGCCGAACGCAGCTCCTCCAAGTGGGACACCCGACGCCCGCTTCAGGCGCAAGAGCTCGTCACGCTGCACGTCGCTCAGCCACCGCAGCCTCGGTGTGGGGCGGCGAGCCAAGGAGAGCTGGAAGAACTGCTGGTGGAATCTGATGAGATGACATCAGTGAGGTCAGAAAAGAGAAGTTCTCCAAGAAAAAATGGTTTTAAAAGATGTTTCAAAGATGAGATACTTCAAGACCAAAGAACACGGGTGTCTTTTTCAGTCACGCTGTGAAACTAAGACTAAGAGTATCAAGATAGAAGATCCATCCATATGCGTTCCATGTTTCCTCGGTGGTTCCTACTTGTAATGATTCTCAATGGTGCCACCAGTCTCGCTTGCTCTGGCTGTTGTTGCTCGCAATTGAGGACCCCGCGTTCTATCCAGCAGCTGTTGGCACAGCGTTCGGTACCTGGTACAAATCAAATGACAAATAGAAAGAGTTGGCTGGATCTCCAAGTCTGTACATGTATCCTCTCAAATGACAAAACCGGAAGAGAACGACCAAGAGAGGCTGAGCCAATTGTTGGCGATCAAAACAGAAACACAACGTCAAGATCGAATCGGTTTTCAGATCGAGAAACCGGCGTCTCAAAAAAGAAACACTTTAATCGATGCAGGATGGCATTTAGATGGTCTTCGTGTGGACCATCTAACCGATGTAGAAAACCAGTCATTGGAATGTACCAGAAGGGAAAAAGACCCACGGCGTTTGTTCTTGCGTTTTTCCCTTCATCTTGGGTCAACATGCACATCTACAAGAACAAACGACCATCGGACCAGATGCCTTGAAGACACTCTACTCTGTCCTAGGTCCTAGGATCCAAAGCACAGCACTGCTCTCGGCACAGGAAGTGGCCCTCAGCAGCGTCCGCATCTTTCTCAGCCTGAAGAACCAGTCCCAGGCACTGTGCGTTTCACGTGTTCCTTCGGCTTAGCAGTCACCCTGATGTTACAACAGTGCTCCGTGTTTCTGCCCTGCACCCCTCTCAATTGAGCCTCCTGCACCCCTTCGCTTCCACATGCGCCTTCCGCTCGGGCCCCCGGGCGCGCTCAGCGCTCGATCTGGCGCTCTCGACCCCAAGTCCTGCGCTCCGATCTCGTCGGGTCGGAGCACCGTGGACGACGGGATCCGAGTGTCGGTCGGTGGCATCTCCCGCGCAGGGGCGGCCCGATGGGCGATGGCGGCCACACACGTTTCTGGAGTCGGTCACATCTGGTCACACATGGTCTCGACTGTGAGACGAAGAAATAGAAACATCCAACATCCAGCATCGAGGAGCTAGAGGCTGGCTAGTCCATGGGGTCATCTTCCTATTCTCTTTTGGTGCGAAGCCGACCGCTTTTGGGGGTTGAATCGGTCAACTGATATCCTGATATGACACCTACTGGTACAAAAGCCATGGCATAAAATTCTGATACTAAGGATCACGTTTCCCCTGTGTTGACAGTAGCGGCAATAGATTATAGATATCTAGACTCTAGACTCATTTTACCTGCAAATCTGTTGATAATTCATACAAGCAAAAGCTTGTTGCCTTGTTGGTAATTAGCCTGAACTTAGGGCCCGAAACACATCCAAAGGCAAACTATCATGTTCAAGTTGCCGGGCTGTGATCCACTTGCCTACTTCATGGATGTTCCCCAAAGCAGGGCCGCTTTGCTGAGTTAGAAGCTTCCAGGTAGATAGCAAAGTGAAAATATTCTGGAAAAAAAAACACTGATTGAAGAAAATAATGCTTGGATTCATTTTGGGTAATTCATGCCCTTTGTTGCCCCGAAGGCCTAGCGGCCTATCTGTGGCATCAGTTCTCCCATTTTGTGTAATCACCAAGCTTCTCACCATCCTCAGCTCCCGGGTCAGCTCCCTCTTTGGTTCCTTGTGAGTCTGACTGCGGCAGTGGCGGCAAGTCCTCACTTGCCACAGTCCCTGCGCGACCGAGATCGGCGTCCGTCCGCCTTCAGGACGAGGCCAAGCTGACCCGGACACCCCGAATCAGAAGGGAGAGGCATCTCAAAGTGGATGGCCTCAAAATTGTTGCTCGTTAGAAGCAAAATAGATGCTTTTGTTGTTTGATACCTTTCCAATCCTTTCCAGATTGTGGTATGTCTTGCAAATAAGAAGGCTACATGAAGATCTGGGTGCAGACTTCACTCTGACGCTTCTCTCATTTGACATCCGGATCCCAATCAGTTGTGTGTGATGATCAGGGAGTCCTGAGTCCCACAGAGTGTCCTGCAAGTGTCCTCCGAAGTGTCCTGGACTTCGCACGGTCCGACACAAAAGGGTGACCGTTTGTCTCAACCGAAATCACACATGGTCAGTGCCTGGAGGAAGCAGCCAGGCAGCTGCAAGGGAGCACAGACCTTAAAGAAAGAGCTCCGCTCTCGACTTTCTTCGACATTCGCTTCCTTGTGCAAAGTACCACAACCGGCCCGACGGACGGCCCGCGCGAGGGGATCAGGATGGATGCAAGGCACGCCCCTATTGGGGATCCTTGGGATCCAAATAGACTTCCAGTTCGATCATACGGCCTTTTGATCCAAAGGATCCAACCTGGAGTCTATCTAGCTTGGATCCGATCAACTGATCCAAATAGCTTTTCAGACCAGTTGGGATCCTTGGGAAGTTGAAACGGTCCCCGATCTCTGATCCTTTCTGATCCTTTCGGTCCCCGATCGGCCGACCGAGCACGGTCGGGTCCGGTCCGCAGGGTCGGTCATCGTTACCTGGGCTTTCCGGCGTAGCACCAGGAGGTGGTCTTGGAACTGTCTGCGCATCACCTTGCAGTCGAGGTATGTTGGGTTTCTGTGCGCCCCTGACCTTTCTATTAGAGCTTTTTGCAGCAGATCGAACGAAGAGATGAGTTGGGGAGAATCAAGGAAAAACTCCCAGCACTTCTCCAATTAGTATGTGCATGTCTGGAGGGCATTTGGGTGAATGGAAGTTAGATTGCTTATTGTATCTGTCCCTTTCTGCCACCCCTCCCTGGATTTTGGCTGGTGCAAGGCCACGCCAAACCGCCACCATCATCAGGCCACGCTCACCCCTCCCCATCCCATCCTCCCCATCCTCCCATCTCCGGTGGGGTTCGGGTCCAGGACTTCCAGACATCTGCGAGGTGTCGGTGCTGTCGCAGGTGTAAGAGGCCCACGATGGAGGCCGCCTGGGACGGGCGGCGCACGCCGAAAGGGAACTCGCCGAAGTGGTCACTGGTATCACAGAGGGCCATGCAGAAATCCTGGGTTTTGGGTGGGTTAGGTATATGTAAGATGCTCGGCAATAAACCAGTACACTGTCTGAAGTTCAAAGGTGACACAAATTGAGCATCATGATTTTGACAGGACACCAAGTCAGAAGGGTGCAGTAAACCACCCAGTGAGACGCACCGATCCGAGTGCCTGCTCACAAGGAATGAGCTCCTTGCACGCTTCTCTGTCAGTACTTGCAGTGCTACCTGGTTTCACGATGTGTTTTCCGTTGAAGAGCAGATTTCAACGGTGCGCACCTTTTCGAGAACCCCAAAGCGAAGCGAAGCTTGAAGACTCCTTGTCACTACTATTGTGACGACGGAAAAGCGACACAACGCCCCGCACTCAGCACAGCAACAAGAAGGACAATGGCAACCACCACCACAACAACAACCACAACAGCCACAAGAACATTCAGCAACAACCACTAGCTTGCAACAGTGGTCCTCCATCGCATCTTGGTCTGCATCATGCAAAATGAACCTGCAACCAGGAATGCCCAGTTCCATTCACAAGAAATACATGTTGAGATTGTGGCAAGGCGGCAACTCTTGCCAAGCCCATGGTGGCCAGGCTTGGCTCCCCTGCCTTTCTTGCCTTGTAGGGAAACGAGTTCTTGAGTTCTTCCTCCCCGTCTTCGACCAAAACCTCCGCGCCTCTCCACGCAGCCCCGCAGCTGCTGTCGGGACCTGAGACCACCCATTTGGGGCCGACCCAAAGGGGCTGGTCCGAAGCAAAGCTGTGGGGCAACCGTCCAGCTGATCGTCTGTTCGAACGCAGCTGATGCAGTCCCCTCTGCGCTTTCCAAAGACTCAAATACTCAAATGGACACCTGGTGCACTGTGCAGGTACATAATTTTAAGTTGCAATTCGCTTAGTCTCATTAGAATTGGTTGGTCAGGTCTAGGTCTAGTAGCAACCATGAGTTTCACCGACTTCTTCTGGTCCTTTCCGAGCACTTCTTTCTGAGACACACCCCTTTCGAACTCTGATGGGTGAAATGAAGCCACATTCCGCCCATCCTTGCGCTGGGGAGCTGTTGTTCCAACTCGTCCCGCAGATGTGAACGCAAGAGCACGCGGTTCTGGACCAGCTCCTCCACCTGCACGTTTTCTGGATTGGGGCAATCAGAATCTAGCAATCTGCATTCCACAAAACTGATAGCCTTCTACAGCCAGGATCAAACCTGGCTTCGCCTATATATAGTCTCCTGAAAATTCAGCCTATGGCCAGTTGAGCATGCACTATCTATGTGTGCAACCAAAAGATTGCTGGTCTCTTCCTAACCAATCCAACACAATGCGCACTTGTCAAAACAGCAAAAGAGATCGGCAAGCGATTAGGCTTGGCGTGGACGCCTGGTCCACTGCCAACCCCACACCCGTATACTGTGACCTCAGTAGCTTCAACAAATCGTGAGCCATCAGTTTCTGAGTGCCAACTAGCTACGAAATCTTCTCTCTTTCGTGCCCAATTTCACGTCTAGCACCCTCACCCAAACCAACACCTCTCCACCTCCCTCCTCAAACCTCTTCCTCTCTCGTACCAATCCATCGTTCCCCCTCGCTCCACATTCTTCGAATTCCCCTTGCTCTCAGTCTCGGTCCCGGAGGCCGGCAGTGGCCGTTCCATCTTCGCAAGACCTCCAAACCGGAGACGGAGACCGGCGCCGCGAACGCGGAAGACCGCGGGTCTCCCGCGGAGACCGGGTTCTGGCGGGTCGATTCGGGCCGCGGTTCGCGCAGCAGCGTTCGAAGAGAAGAGAAAACCGGCGGGTTCGTGGAGCGAAGACGAAAGGAATCACCCCGAAGACGAGGTGTGGTCCGTGGTGGTCTGCGAAACACTCACTGACTGGAGCAACATGGCCGGTGGCACTGTGGCACGGTGGCCGGCGGTGACTCTGTCACACAGAAGTCAGTTGGTGCGGTCTTCGGAATCTCTGCGAATCCGCAGTATATCAGTGAATTTTGTCAGACAAATCCTGACGTCTGAAGCGACTTTCACAGCGTCCTTTGATCATTCTGAAGTGCACAGGCCATTTCTGAAGTCACCAGCTATTTTCACAGCTATTTAAACATTCGGCCCCTTTGTTTGAAATCACAACATGTCAGATTGCCTTGCACTTGTTTCGCCACCGCCGCGAAACAAGCCCCGAAAATCGAGCCCCCGCACTTGAACAGGACAGTGAGACCTGAGTTCTGCAACATACAGAACGAAAAGGATCTACAAAACCTGGAGACCCCCAAAAAAGGCTTGCCACATATAGATTCAAATGTACGATATATGAGAATTTATATGGAATAACAGCATAACAGCGGCCAAAGATTCCAATATTCCCTGCAGAATCCATGTACTGTGAGGACGTATCGGTTCTTCGGCGGTTTCTGCGGGTGTTCAACCCGGCGCAACGCCAGGCTTTAGAGACCAACAAACCCAGGATGGAAGATTAAAAGCAGTCACCAAATCTGTGCCAATGGGCAGACTGGTCTATTTTCCAAACCTGAAAAACAGATGGGTCAGGTGTCATTCTACGATTCAAGTGAGCAAGCCAAATAGTCCACTTCTGCATGCAAACGTCCTACCATGGTTCTATAGGTCTGTTGGCCCATATGAGCATACGCAGAATCTCATGGTCTGGCTCATTTCCCCACGTTCTTGCACTCTTTTCACTGCCTCATATCGACACCAAGCCGCAGCTGCATTGGCCAATGTGTTCTTCAGCTGATGCACCGTGGTCTCGAAGTCCTTTCCTTTCAGAGTACTGGCCTGAAGGCTCGAGCACAGCCACCACAGCCACTGCTTTGAAACGATCCTGGACCATCGTGGAAGATGGGGGCTTTCTTTCTCAACTACCCTATGGGGCTCCCGAGCATTCATCGAGGAGGCTTTCTCGGCATTCCGCAGCCAGGTGTCCTGGACATCGGACCAGAATTACAAATCACCAAAGAAACCAGAAGCAGGAGCAGTTGGAGCACGGACTTTGCACGTCTTGCTGCGGCACGCTCTCCCCACCTCCAGCCGTGGGCACCCAGCCCAGAGTCCAAAACCGATGCACCGCACCCCGTATACCGCCCCACCGCAGGCGGCCAGCTCCCCCATCTCGGGAAGGCGAAGGCGGGGTCCTCCACGGCGGCCAGCTTCAGACTGGCCACCTCTGTAAAGCGACTGGACGCCGAGGCCTGGTCCTGGGGACACATGACCGCTCGGGGCAGGCCGTAAACAAAAGCGCATGGCACCCAAACCGATCGGTTTGGGTGAAACGAGGAACGAAGCACCAAACCGGTCTTCTTTGTTTGGAAATCTCATATGTCATAGATGAATGGATCTCACAGGACTTCAACTTTCTACAGAGTTCTTTTTTGTGGAACCTCCCAAGTTTGCTGCACGCACAGCTCGCAAAATGCAAAGAAAAAGGGCAACGGTGGGCACAGCCCTCGACGTCGAGGAACAGTGCCTTTCAAATTGTCTCCGCGCAAATATGGCTGTGCTGTGCTGGTGGCTCTGCTGGCTGGCTGTACTGGCTGCCCAAACGTTTTACTTGAGATCTTTGCCAAGAGTGCAGGTGTCTGTGTCTGCCTCAATGAACGAGATCTGCACTGTCATTCCACACGTCATATAGAGTTTTCAAACTGGCACACTCCGGCATCAGCATGTATCTGCATTGTTGCTCCCAAATTTCGGATACGAGCAGCATGACAAGTAAAGACAGGGGATTCTCCTTTCTGTCTCCGACTGCTCAAGTGAATATCTAAGGATGTGGCCTTGTCTCACATCCAGTCTTCAAGGGTGGATCCCTCTTGTGTCCAACAGAATCCGCTATAGTCTAGCTGGTTAGAATACTCGGCTCTCCCCCGAGCGATCCGGGTTCGAGTCCCGATGGCGGAATTTATTATATGTGCGACCTGCGCAAAGCATTTCTGCACGTAGGCTGCTTAAAATGTACCTTCCTAGCCAGGGTTCACCCCACGTGTTTCAGCGCCAAGATGCGCCAAGGGCATGGACAAATACATGCCTTTACTGGAAAATGGAGGGCCCCTCAGCTAGGATTCCAAGAGCACTTGGAAATTGTTTTAATCTTTCTGAATCCACGACCATTCTCAAAGAACTCTTTTTAGTCAAAGGGTAGTGAGGCCACTGTCGCTGGAGCAAATCCATCTCTCCAACCACCAAACCCTCAACTCTCCTCTGCACGCTGCACCACCGCCAGGGACTCTTCCTGTACGCTGAATGTGCTGTGAGACGCGCATGGAGTGTCAAGCTGTTGGACGAGACATGTTGGATGCGCATGCAATGCTACGGTGCTTGATGCATAAACAACTGTGAGATAACTTACTCCTAATCGAGTGGCCGGAGGAGTGGATGAACGCCATGGACAAACCTGGCCTTTATCTTCTGGCGTAGCTCCTGCTTCTGTTGTTGATGCCTCCGCCAAGTAAACTTCCGCATCTCTTCTAGTGATCTTGCAACATTCATGTGACACATTCTGCAGCCCTTCTAAGGCATCACCACCCAAGGCCGCCACTGCGTCCAGCGCATGTCGCGTTCCTTCCGCTGCTCCTGTCCGACATCCGACTGCACGACTGCAGCGGACCTCCGACGCCCCCGCAGCGGCTCGCGGAGCTCGCGCGGACCACGAAAGCGCGGACTGTCACGCGCGCGGACTGCGAGGGCGGAGGCTCCTCCCAGGCCTTTTCCAGCTGCCCATCGATCCGCTGACCGTAGAGCTTCGCCTGGTGCAGGAGGAGCTGCTTCTCCGCCTGACCGGTTCCAGCAAGCACGGCAGTTGATCCAAACCACGGTTCCAGTGCAAAGAGAACAACACATGTCTAGCAAAGGCAGAGTGGATCGGGTGCATCAAGCGACAAGACTCAAATGGAAAGAAAACTACAGGCTTTTGGTTGGAGTCTATGTCGGGGGGCCTTCATAGGGTCTGACCTACAGAGAACTCATGCGTCTGACCGGATCTGCCAGGATCTGTGTCTGACTCGGCTGGCACCTTGCTCTGAGATCGCTCTGCTTGGTCAAGAAGTTGTTTGACCTCAAGCAGCTAGCTGAGCTGAAAATTGCTAGGTGTCCTAAATGCCCCATTCAGTCGTGGGAAATGATCACCGCACTCTTGCGGTTTTCATACATTGCTCACCCAAAAACAATGGAAACAAGCAGGGGGGCCGATGTTGACACAAAAGCCTCTCCCTTTCTAGAATACCCACGGGCCCATGGCCTTAAATCTGTCATCCGTCTCTGCGTTTGGCAAAATGACCTTGAAAAGCATTGCCTCCCGCCTTCACATCCCGCTCTTCTGTGAGCTTAAGGCGGTACTCCTCCCACCTGCCGGATTGCTTCACCCAAGAAGAGTCTGGTCTCTCTTCATGGAGGTCCAACGGAAAGCTGCAACGGGCTGGACGGAAATACAAAGCAATTCAGCTCGACTTCCATTGAGACCATCTCCATTGGTGTTTTGGTGTGCTGAACTAGTTCTGGTGCTACAGTAATCCCCATTCAGAACGTGTTGCGAACGGGACCAAGACAGGGCGGCCTACCATCTAAGACAGGGCGCGATCGTGCGCAGGCGAAGCCTTCGGCCATGCTTCGTCTCAGTCTCTTGGAACTCAATGCCTGCCTTCCAGAAATAGGGCAGATAGGAAAACCGACCAAGTGGAGATTTATGTATGTATGTATATATATATATGTGTGTGTATACTGGACATATATATATATATATACACATATGTCTACTGTATTTACTGTACTTTTATATTGGCTTTGTCTCTCTTCTCTCGAAGTACAGTGGCTACTGTGAATACGAAACACTTTTTACACTACCAATTTCAAACGTCCAATATTTGTTAGCCAGGCCCTCGCAGCTAGGGGGTCCCTTGTACAAGACAAAAAAAAGAAATTGGCCCCATGGTTTCCGCCAGTTTTCGTCCGAATTCCAGTGGTTTTGGGATTCCATGTGAGAAGTACATCATCCCAGATCGAGGACTTCCTGGCACCCTGCTTGACTCAAAAGAAACATGAATTGGGGCTACCCGGTTTTTCTATGAATTTCTCCAAAGCCGAGCTTTGAGCTAAAAGAGGATTCTGGAGACATCAGCATTGCACCGTTGCACCGGGTGCCTGCGACATCAACGCCTCCTGCTCCAGCCAGTCCTTCTGGGCTTCCTCTGTGGGAGTGGTGAACTCCACCTGGACGGCTTCAAAGGTTCACGGGCTTCATCTCGGTCGGTCTTCATCTCGGTGGACGGTCGGTCGGTCGCGACTTGAGGTCCGTTCCTTTCTCGGACAGCGAGCCACCGAGGGCCGGTCATTGGGGTCGTGGCTGGTAGGGCCGGGCCGGGCCGCAGTGGACGGGACGTTTCAGGCTGGAAGGGACCAAAAAGCGAGCTGCTAGCTGTCCAAGAGCAAACGAGACAAGCAAACCTCAAGCTCTCTATGAAAGCTAATTCCACAACTTGCCCTTCAACATGACTTCGGCCCACCTTGACATCCTCTGGAATGTCCTGACAAGAAAAAGGAATGAAGCTTAACTTTCTTCAACTTGCTGGGGAACTGTGCTCTCCCGTGTTGAGGACTTTCTCCGTTGGGCCTCCTTACTGCGATTTGTTTGTGCTTCTGGTCGCTGATGGTACATGTGATGCATCTTTCTCGACATATCATGATCCCCACATAGATAGCAGTAAAAACGGTGTCCAATGCATTCTGAGTGGAGATCTACTTTCTCTCAATTTGGGGGTCAAAAAGTAAACCAAGATTGATTGATTCCTTTCATTCCTTTCTCGTCTTTGTCTCTGCACGAAAGCGCATATATATATATATGCCACATCGATCCGCACATCCGATGTAGATGCCACCTTCGCTCCTCCCGCACTTCGATCCTTCCGTTACCATCCACCGCGCCAAACACGCGCCTTGCAGAAGTCCTGCAAACGGTGGAGGAAGCTCAAGTGCCAGTCCGATGCCTCGGTGCCGCCGTGTGGGCGCGCCACCGGTGTCGTGTCGTCCACGAAGCGGTGAGGTCGCGGCGCGAGACACTTGCAGCTCACACCAGTGGCTGCAATGTTTGCCTGGCAGTTGGCCAACTTTGGAAGTCGGAAGACCACTGAGTAAACAGAACGTCAACGTACCAAGGAAAGTGTGTCCTACAAAGACGCAGGCACAACTGTCAGGCTCAGAAATCGCGTACAGGATTATTACAGGACACACACCAAGAAAAAAACAGGAACACACGACTTCCAACCCACAAGTCGGCGCGACCGAGTTCCTTCCCCACCGGCGCCTCCAAGGCCGGGGAACTTGGCGGCGATGCCGCGCAGCTCCTGCCGACCAACACCGTGGAAGGAGGCCGGGACGTCCAAAGTTAGGAAGGGAAGATCGATTGAAGCGATGCAAAAAGCGATGTGTTTGGACATTCAAAAATTCCAACAGAGTCTAAAAAGAACCAAGCATGTTGGAACTCAAGAACCTCATGGCCTGAGGTGGCTGAATGTGAGAGTGTCTCAAAAAAATTGGATTGGCATGAAGTGTGCTAATTCTTTGCGTATACTCATGGTGTCCTATTGATGAAGTGTCCTATACTCCGTGTGTTATATTAGCATGAAATGTCCCATACATGGTTTGTCTCATTCCTCAAGTTGTTTGCCGCATGTGTTTCTCCGTCAGGCGCCTCACGGAAACGCAAGTCTTGAGCAGCCAGCTCCTCACTCAGCGCCTTGGACCGTTTGAAACGAAAGAAAACACTTCGACAAAGCGAGGCAAACACCCAAAACCTGACCCAAAACGCCCAATCATTGGGCTGTCGGTGGGGGGGGCCACCTGCACCTGGGGCTAACTCATTGAGCCCTCTCTCTCGTTGCTTTGACCCCAAAAGATCTGTGGCTCCCTGACACCTGCGCTGCAACGGTAGGACAGGGGCTCCTTCAAGGCCGAGATCACCTGATGCGCTCACCACGAGACACGTCCGGCGTGTCGGCATCGGCGAACCGGAACGGATCACTTGGAATGGGCGCCGCGTGAATCCGCCCGAAACGGCGACCGTAATAGCAAAGAACATTGACCGGTCTGGTTCAGATTCCTTGCTGCTCTTCGGTTTCATATGAGTTGGTGATCTTCAGCTTGGCCAGTTCTGGAAAGAAACGACAACAACAGCATCTTACAGCAACAAATCTCTGATCCCTTGGCATGGTCTTTGGCTGTTTCAACTGCCAATCAGACTGTGTCGCCTTCAGGTAGTCAGTGTCACGCCCCAGTTCCAGGCGCAACCTCAGCAGTTAGATATCTGCACTGACTTGACCCTCAGGAGTCAATATACTGTATCCATCCGTTTTTTTGAGTCTTCAAAAGCAAAAGTTAAGTTTGATGTAGACCTTTAACATCCTTTAACATCGGGTGTTGATTTGATCAAATGAATCAAATGTGTAGACTGTAGACTGTTGATTATATTTCAACCCGCCCAGACATCGATTGTAAAACCTTGTGATATGCGGGGTCCAAGTGGATGGCAGCGGGGTGTAGCTAACAAAAGCCCAAGGACAGCGAAGCGATCACACGAGAGGACGAGTATGGCTGGCAACGCAAGCAAAATCTGTTTTCCTCAAAAAAGTGACTCGATCCGACAAACTTCGAAGTGCACGCTCCTATTCAGCGAGCATGGACTCAAGGCACTTGCATCCCACCGGATCCCGGGCAAGAATCACCTTCTTGTCTTTTGGGGTTATCCACAACCGGGTTGGTTTCAAAGGTTTCAAGCCCTTGTTGTTTGCGCTTTCTGGTGGACCGCATCTGGCTGTCGCTAACGATCTTCCAGTGGAATCCATTCTTATAGTATAGTTCAAGTTCCTTAGTGGCGGCCTTAGTGAGTGCATTGGCGATCTGAGCTTCAGAGTGGACCCACCTTAGTAACAATCCATTGTGACGTTGCGCCGATTTGACGCACATCAGTTCCAAGTCTGTTCGGCGTTCCGCCCCTTTTGCTGAGATTTCTTCATTTTGCAGTTTGTCATAAACATTCCGGGAATCTGAAATGACACAACCGGTAACCTGGTTCACTGTTGTGTCAATGTCGAAAATATCGGGGAGGTACTGTTTCATTTCACCTACTTGAAATCGTGCATGGAAAAGAAGGTCCTCCCCATTCACTACAGCCTTGGCTTCTGCAGCTCCCGGGCTTCGTGTGACTCTATCGATCCGGTTGGAGTGCCAGGCAACGGGCGTGATGGCTTCCAAATTGCCATCTAACAGGCCCAAAGGTCCTAAACCTAGAAACAAGCCTTGCGTGCTTTCTCCACCTGGCCTATTCTGACTTCCTGCATCCGTCCACATAAAAAGACCAGTTTCACAACCTGGAGGAAACGCATGGACTTTAAGTCTATGCTCCTTCCTTTGTTTCGTTCTATACAGAAGGTTGTTTATTTGGTGTATGGTCTCAACTGTACTTGTGGACAGTGCTGAAAGAAACAGCCCTACCTCTGCTGACAGGTGTGGTGCCACTTGTTGCGCATGCCAGGAGAGTGCGCCTAAGATGCCTCGTAGCTTCGTCTTCTCCCACTCTGTTGTGAGAGCATGTTTGTCTTTTCGTCGGCTGGAGCAGAGGTTGAGCTCACTGACCTTGTCAAGGTAGTGGGGTTGCGACAACCAAAAACCTCCTCTGGGATCCTCTTCTATCAACACTCCACATTGGGTGAAGCGGCCACTCTCCCACTCCCCCCACTTGTAATGTTGTTTGATCTTTTGCAAGACCTCTTGCCAAGACTCATCTTTTTCTGATCCACTGAACAGGAAATCGTCCACGTGGCAGGCGATGATGCCTTGTAATTTGCCTTGTGGTTTCCAATGCCAGCAACAAGGGTCAGCCCAAGATTTGATGAGGCCCAACTGTGAAAAATATTCAGAGATGCTGCGATACCATTCGAGTGGGGCATCAACTAAACCATAGCATCCTCTTTTGACTTTCACTATTTCTCCAGGGCTCAAGTTCATGGCTTTGAGGATCTCCGGGCATGGTATGCAGTAGAGAGGAGTCGGATACTCCCTACCTTGGAGGAAAGCTCCGGACACATCGCCTTTCTGTAGCTTCCAGCGGTTTTGTGCTGTTGTATGTAGCATCAATTGGCGTGTCTGTCTTGTCATCACTGGAGTTGTCGTTGCACGATATTCATAGCCAGGGTCTTGGTAGCCTTGTAGGATAGCTCTGGCCTTTGCTTTGTATTCTCCAGTGTCTTTGAGTTTCCAAGTGAGGATCCACCTCATGTGGATCACCTGGTCCTTGTTTGGTCGATTCTCTGGCGGCAGGGCTTCGAAGGCCTTGGCGGCAAGGAAATTCGACACTTCTATCCCCTTTGCCTGCTGGAACTTTTCGAAATCTTCTTTCGACAGTCTCTTCTCATTGACCTCAATTGCTCTTCTTTTAAGGCATCCCACGAAGTAGGATTGAAGGTCAGTGATGGCTGTCTGCATCCCTCTTTTTGTGTCCGGCATGTCAATCTCTACGGTGATGGTGGCCATGTCATCGGTCCAGTAACTGGTACCCTCTTGTGTTGTCTCCAGTTGTTCATCTGCCAATATAACGTCCACCATGCTTGTTGTTCAACATAGTCTGTCTCCATGTCATGTGGTCGTTCGGTAGGTCGTCGCCTGGGGCTTCGACTTGCCGGACTCCGACCTCGATGAGAGCTGCTGGCCGTTCCTGGGTCTTCTCCTTCTGCTTCTTCCCCCAGTGTTTCTAATGGTCTCTTGTATGTGTGTCTCCTTCGAGGTGGAGCTTGTCGAGCTGGATCTTGAGCTCGATGCCACTCTTCCTCATCCGGTTGTTCCTGAGAGATATCTTCATATTCATTTCCTCCCAGTTCCTGGGTGATTCGAGGAAAGGTCCATGGAGCTTGAACTTCTGGATCTTCGCTAAGGTGCTCGATAAGCTCTTCACGGGAGGTAGCTGGTCGCAGCTGTTCTGGACTGCATTTCAACAGCCTCCTTCCTCGCACACACCATACTGCTGCCCCAGGGTATAACTGACCTTGGTCATCTCGTCGGGATTCTGTGCAAAGGACTCTCGCTGGGCCCAAGAACATTCCATTCTTGCTTGCCTCTTTGTTTTTCGTCTGTTTCCTCCAGAAATACACAAGATCTCCAGGTCTGTAGTCCATCTTGCGATGCGCTCTGGACTGCATTGCTTTCTGTATTCGCTGATGTGCTTGCCACTCTGCTAATGCTTTTTCTGCTTCTTGCATGCGGTGAATGCTGGTTTTCCAATCCAAGCCTGGACTGGGTATGAGGAGATCGGTGGCTTCTGGTCCCAGACTTTGCACAAAGCGACCAGTTTCGTCGGGAGCCTGGCCTAGTACATGCTGTACAGGTGAAAAACCATGGATGATTTCTTTGTGGTTGAACACTCGTACTGCTTCTGCTAGGGCGGCTTCCACGGAACATGTGTGATCTGATGTCACAATTTTGGTCATCAGTTCTTTGAGGCCCTGCACGGCCTGCTCACAGGTTCCGAGTTGCCAATGCGCTTCACCTGGGATCACATCGAGAAGGATGTGGTGTTCATCACAAAAGTTCTCCAGTGCATGGCTTCGAAAAGCACCGGAGGGATCCAAGCGCAATACAGTGGGTATTCCAAAGTACTGCATCCATCCTTCCTGAAAATAAGCCACAAAATCCGCGGCTTGCATGGTTTTGTGTTTCCCTTTAGTCATGACCCTAGCGACCCGAAAACGACTACCCTCATCAATGATAACAGCAAACTCAAATTCTTCATGAGTCTCCGGGTGCACCCAACGACCCCCATCCGCCGACACCGTGTGGAGTTTCGGTGGCAGGGGCTCAAGTGAAGCAACATGGTGGGGCTTCCTCTTACATTTTTCTTCACAAATGGAACATCGGAAGTCCTTAGCACATTGAATGATTTGGGCACTCGCTCCCCTCTTCTCAAGGGCTCTCACCATGTGTCGTGTGCTGCTGTGGCCCGTGGCCGCATGGAGTAAGTAAAGCTTCCGTTTAATCTCCTCCTCGTTTTGTTCATGTTTCAAATGCACACCAACACAAGCCATGTTTCCAACATGTTCGTTTTGTTTCAGGAGACAATGACCACACATCGTTTTGCTACCATGATGTTTCACCACCTTGCAAAAACACACAGTTTTCTCCCCAAAATTCTTCACCAACACAGTTTCTCCCTGTAACTCTTGGTGTAAGTGTTTGTGGGTCATTTCCTGGAACAAACATTGGGTCACGCGTTTCGCGTATTCCGTCGTGTAGAGCGCCGTGTCATTCGCGTTTCCCCCTTCACATCGACCATGTTGATAATTTTTCCACAATGGCATGGCATGTGCATCGTTTCTTGCAAACTCCTATGAGTAGTAAGGATCTTCCAACCCTTGTGTAACAAAGTTTCCGTCTTTTTACACCTGAGGTTCACCCGGCAACCCTGGGTCACCGCTCCTAGAAGTTGGTACCTCTTTTGCAAGTCCTGCATAAAAGGCAACCTCCAACCCTGGCACCGTTGAGACCACTCCCATGTGACATGTATGTTCTTTTGAACACAGAACTCATAAATATTCAAGGCCCCCATGTACTGCAAAAGCGCGTCCTGTCTCTTTTCAGCCAAGTCCTCCTTCTGTTGTTCAGTACGTTGGTTGATAGACTGGAGTGGGCTATATGGTCCACAAACAGGCGAAATCCACACATGGGAGGGTTGGTGTTGAACAATTTGATTCAAGATCAACTGGACACCTTCGGCCGTCCGAAGGTCACACCCATTCCACAGCGAACATCGAATGGCCGCCGATTCGTAGCCTGCTCTTTCTTGAACAGTTTTTGATAACAGACTGTCTGGGCTGCAAGCGACTTCCAAAAGAAAAGTTTTCTTCTCAATCAGCGTTTGGAAGGCCTGTGGAAGCATGTCCATGGTTTGTTTCTCAAAAAACGTTCCCATTGAGTCTGAAATCGTTTTGATGTTCGCAGCAACTAAGGATGCTGCTGACGCTTGGCCTACTTCTGAGGCTGTGGCAGCGGCGGAATCTCTGATGAGCTCACCATACTGAAGTCGGCCTCCGAGTCGCGGTCCTTCTTCTTGTGGGGCCGCTCTTCTTTCAAAGAGTTCACCTCCTCCTGCAGGGTGGTCAGTGCTTCGGCCATGCGGATGAGGAGGTCCTGAGGAGTCACATCCTCGGTGGACTTCATTGCATGTCCATGGGCACTCGACTTGGCCTGCTGCAGCTTCTGTTTGGGATATGGTGTGGTGCTCTTTGTCTTGGATGCGGGCT